GGATAATTTATGCAATTTACTCCAATAAATGGAGCTGGACAACAAACAAAAATTCTACTGGAATCACCAAGAATTGCCACTTGGGGCATCCAAGTTTGGAAGTTTGCTTAACTATTGCTCTGACTTTCTTCAGGGAAGGGGAAACCTGGATGCAGTTTCAGGTAGGAACAGATTTGTGTACTAATGATTGCAGCTATGATAGTGTGATGAGTGAGAACTTTTTTCACTTGTCCACCCTTTGCCAATTCAAGCCCATTCATTACTGTTTTGGAGCAAAAACTGACGGTCTGTGCCAAACAGATCTGAAAAGGTGCTTCTCTTATCTTCTCACAAATAGTGTCTTGCACAATTTTCCTTCAACATCCTTAAAAGCCTGACCCATCTCACAGACTAAGATGTATAAGGCCAAATGGTGCATGTTTTACATCTGAATCTGCTATAAAAGTTTAAGGTGCCTATTAGTGGAATTAAAATGATGCTTTTTCAGTTGCTTCTGAGCCTAAGTATACACATGATGCCCTTTTCACCTAAGAGAAGAAAGTGGCACAAACTATTTCATACATTTCAGAAAAACTACCCATGGTATAAGATAGAAGTTATGATTAAAGAATGGTAGGCACAGTAGAGAATTCTATATTTTAGTAGATCCCAAATGCTTAGTGACATGGGAAAGAATTTATAATACAGCATTAAAAGTATACTTATGCAGCAGATCTCTAATATATAGGAGTGGTATGTCTCTGAGCCCCTGGGAATGGCCGAGGCATACCATCACCAGAACATGGAACACACTGCTCACAGAGTATGGTGGGCATAGGGATGTCACGGCTCTCAGTTGCCAATGAAAAACATTATTTCAGCTAAGTCATTAAATCTTTGTATTTCATTTTCTCTTTGATTCCCTTACAAGTCTCAAGTTCTGGTTTCCTTTTTAAGACCACTTTTGGCTAGGAAACTAAGTGTTTTGTCAGTTCATAAAAATGATTGCATTAATGACACAAACAAAGTAACACAGTGCTCTTGGGATGTAACTGCAGAGGTGCCAGCTTGGTTCAATTTCTGGTCTAACAGGGTAACTGAGTTAAATCTCTGCCTCAGTAAGAAAGGCAAGTCCACTGCATGTCCTGGACGTTCTGGGACTTGTAGCAGAGTAGAAATAAAGAATGCCAGCTAAATCACTGAATTCTAAATCACTGAATCATCTCCTTAGACAGTATAACTTCCTCTATATTATAATCTATAGACAAGAATAAAGAAGCATGGTAAACACATTAGCAATACCTATCTGTGGGAATTAGGGATTATTAGTGAGTTTTATTGTTTTCATTATAGTCTTTTACCAACAATTCTGTTAGTATTTAGAATCAGAAAAAAATTCATAAAAGTATAAAATTATTTTGAAACATGTCAATAATCTCTTTAGTCTCAAGAACCACTGAGTGAACTAATGTATAATCATGGCAGCCATTGGCCATACTTTCTGAGTGTGAGAAAGAGAAAAAAACAAGAATTAAAAATGAAGTGGAAAAGCAAAGAAAGAAAAAGAAGAGGAGGCAATGAAAACCAAACTGAACTGATGGTAAGGAGCAAGACATTCTCATCATCTGTGGCTACCTCAGATCTGTATTGATTTAAAACAATTCCCAGAACTGAGTTGTACCTGTATTCAGGGAGTCTGTGCACTTCCTAAAATTGAAATAAAGGCTGATGATGATAACGGCTGAGTTGGAAGTTGGAAGCGGTGATGGACACAAGAACAAGCAGCTGGTTACATACTAGAAACATTTTGGCTATTGAAAGGCTTTACATTATAAATAATACCACAGTACACAAACCTGATGTGTATATTTACTAATAAAATTTTAAACAATTGGTTCAAATATAGCCCTTACAGTGATTTTTAAGGCAAAATAATGAAGACAGTCAGGCATTTTGAAAAACACAAAAGGTGGACATCAGGGGTTTGGCTACCAGTGCTCATATCCAGTTTATTTTTGGTTTTAAATGTGTAGTAATTGGAAAATTCCTATTAACACAAGAAACAGTTGCACATGATAACAGTTTCAACAGTTGCCCTTGCAATTTTAGTGTCCTCAATTTTTCAATTAAGCAGAAATAGTGGAAAAATTTGTGGGACAAAAAAGTATTTACTTTGCTGGTACATAGTTTTACAATTGCTGAAACATTTTTTTCACAATTCAACTCAGCTTGAATCAGTTAAAATTGTCTAATATGTTTAAATGCACATTTGTTGAATTATTGTTCAAAAAGATTTTAAAACATGTAAATCTAAACTGAAGGAAACAACAGATGCTTTTGGCACAGTTTGAAGTCGATAATTTAATGCAACCAATAACCCTGCCCCCTCATTTTATGGGTAAGAAAACTGAGGTCAAGCATTAAAACTAAATTTGCAGCCTTAGTTTTTAGCAACATTTTTGCTGTTTTGACACTTTTCTGTCTTGAAAGGAAAAAAATCGGGATATCTGAATGGGATTTTGCTTCTCAGAACCTTAACAGGTCCAAAAGGCCAATGTGGACAGGTGAAAAATGAGTAACTATCTCAGTGATTAGATATAATAATATTTTTGAAGTTCAAAAGTATATGCCTTTGCACTAAGAAAGCCTATGTTTTTTCTTTTTGTTAGTTTCCAAATCTGGATAGCAAATTAGACAATTATACCTGCAGACAGAGAAGAGTTCCTTAAGGATCTGATTCTGCAATATCTGATGGAACATAAGCTCTATTTTATAGTCTCTTCTACTTTTCTCAGGCTAACCTTCCTCATTTTGTTTTGGAAATGCAGAAACGTTGCTCTGATTTCTAAGCACACGAAACAGCTCAATGCATTTGATAGCAATTCCTGAAATATCAGCTCCAGAGTGGCATATCCACAACAGGCTTTCATTTTAAGCTCACTTACTGATCAGTCTTAATTATTACAGCTTTGTCTAATTACTTCTCCAATAAAACAGCAGCTTCCTGACATTTGCCTCCCACTTATTTTATTTTTCCTTTTTCACCTTTCTTTCTTCTTCCTTTTTAAATAGTCACCTGTCCCAACATTTATACATGTGCTGCATTAGTTGTTTTAACATAACACATGGCACAGAAAAAGCATAAATGACACAGGAAGTCTTCTTTCAATAGAATCTTTTCTTTTGGAAAATAAGAAATGGGTCAAAAGTGTTACTTCCCACAGAGAAGGGTGGGTAAAATGCAGAGGCCAAAAAGAATTTTTCTGATTATGAATATTTTCTTCAGTTGTTAACAAAATGCTTTTATTTCACAACTGTCTTCCATAGCTGCTTTTTTTTTTTTTTTTCACTGAAGTTTTATTCCTAGTAGAAAAAGCTTATTGCAGTTGTGTGGGACAGATCCTTCCACATTCAATTTTCCTGGAAATGTGTGTGTAAAACTTTCAAAGTCTATGGGTGAGTTGAATGTCTGAATTGAGATAAATACATTCCTTACATCCTGATCTTTCCATTATAGGCATGTATAAAACTGTAAAACAAGAATTATTTTAAAATAGCGTTAAACTTACATAGTTAAAATAGTTCAAATGCTTACTTTTTCCAAGACAAAGAAATTCAAGAAAAGTATTAAAATTTAGTTTCTATAGCATATCTGACGTTTAATATATAACATTATGTTATAATATAAAGCTAACTTATACACTTACATTTTACAGTTACGCAACATGTTCTATTCCTTTAATGAGTGCGTTTTTATGAGGCAGTATTTTGGTTGCTCTATGTTAGTTAATAATAGCAATTTCCTGTCATATGACAGGAAATTTAAGTTTAGAATTCATGAATATGGGCCAGGGATTTAGCTCAGTGGCACAGATGCCCGCTTGGCAAGTATGAGATTGTAAGTTCTATCCCAATACAAAAAAAAAAAAAAAAAGAATTCATGAATATAAGGTAGAAAGAGTGGAGGGACATGAACTTTAAAAGTTAAAGGCAGAAAATAAAATCATAAATTGCATTGTTCACAACAAAAAGATAGAATGCTTTACATCTACATTGCCCATATTGTATTTTAATTATTCAGAGCTTCCTATCTATATATAATTAACAAACTGTTTTTAATAAATAGCATCGAAGTGTTTCTCGTAAATGCAAGAAGCTTGGAAAAGGATCTTTTTATCTTTCAGTTTCCATAATTACTTTTGTAGGGAAGAATTTTCTTATATTCTCGCTGACACATTTAGGCTGAGTAAGCTGTTACTAAAGAGAATCAGTAGGAAGAGTTTTAAGTGTTAAAGTAAATACCTCATCCATGGAAAATGATTGACCTGTACTTCTATGATTACTCATTACCTAAGATTTTCATTGTCAAGTTTATTCTTGAGCCAGCAAATAATCTGAAAGTCAATTATGGTTTTCCTCAAGCAAACAATGATGAATGAAAATGTTAAGTATCTAAATTTTTAAAGCTTCTAATTAAAACGATTTTTTAAAAAAAACCTGACCTTGGAAATAAGCTCTGCAAAGACTGAGTTTGCTCAAAAGTCATAGAACAGTTTTAAAGCAGAGTCTGATCCTACTTAAATCAGTTTAGAACAGAGACAGAATTGATCAGTTGTGACCTTCTGCTTTGATCATGTTCCTGATTAGGGACAGAGAAAAAAATGGAAAGAATTCTGAGAACACAAAGCTATCAAACTGGTTAAGACTATCAAGCAGGCTTTATCCTATAGACTCGTGCTTAGCAGACAAACTAGGAATCAGAATGAAAAAAAATCAGAAGAGAACTTGACTCTGAAGAATACTTTGCCTAATACTCTACAAAAACAGTCCATAGACTCTGAGTAGCATCACCAGCAGCAAGATGAAGAGACACAGGTGCTAGTGACATACAATCAGGAATGAGCACTGATAGCAACACATGCCATTTTATTTTTAATTTTAAAACTCATTTAAATTTAAGAAGCTTTCTTGGAACCTTATTCATGTTTATTCATGTTAAGGAACCAGTAAATTGGACTGACCTGGCAGGACAAGGATCCAAGTTGCACTCCTGGAGCTTGGGTTTGGGCTTGATGTTCTCTGGGTAATAGTGACAGTACTGATCAGCAACCACTCTGTTGCTCCGGAGATCATAACACTCAGCAGATGTTAGCTGGTAACCTATGAATATCAAACCAACCAGAGAAATTTAAAAGCACATGCCTCTGTGATATACTTCTTGATGTTTTTGTCCATTGCATATTAATGGAAACTATCCCCCAGTGCCTCTATAATTTTCAGTAAAAGAGGTACATAATTGGAAGTCTTGTTAATTTCTGAAGGCTTTAGACACTATTTTTTAAGTAATCCACTCATTTTAATATTTACATTATATTATAGGGTTTGAGATACAGAAGAGCATAGTCAGATATCAGACCATCTGGTAAGAACTACTATTTTAATTTATTTGTATAGTATAGAAATATAACACAGAATTCTGTGGGCAGAAAAAGACTAAGTATTTATTTAACTGTCTTATGCAAGGATGCTAAATTGCCTTCTTAGCACCTATGGCATGAGGAAGAGTAAGTTACCTAACTAACTAACTAACTAACTAATTCACCCAACATTTTCCTCCTTGGCAATGGGGCTAATGGAGTATAGCACAGGATCAGGTTCTGCTAGCTGCCAGAGAATATAACTTGTGCCTAAATTCAAACTAAATTTTTTGAGCTGAATAAATGGACAAGTGAGATCCTGACAGTAACCACCATGCATCCTGTTTCCTTGCAAAAATAAGAAACAGCAGCAAAACAACACAACAAAGAAATCTTCTCTACTATTTAATTTCTGCTTTCTCCAAAATCCTTTACCATCTCTCATGAAAGTAAGTCTTTATCCTATGTTTCTTAGCCTCTACCTACAAAAGATAAGCCTCTTTTCAAGGAAAAGTTGTTGAGTAATAATTGGTTTAATCACAATATGTTTATCTTTCCTTTTAGGTTTTTATAGCCCAGTGAATTTCTGGTAGGGTGGTGATCTGATCAAGAAATAGATTCTTGGGGTAAAAACTAAATGTACATAGAGAATTAAAAAATTATAATATTCTAATTCTTACCAATCACATAAATGTATTTTTTCTGGCAGGTGGCTGAATACTGTTATTGCTAAATATGTATTAGGAAACAATATTTAAACTGTTAAGGGACTTGCAAAAAAATTTTAGGAAATCAAAAGGAGGCTTTTAAGGCAGATTTTCTGGCTTGAGGCCGTGTTCTCAGACCACCCACAAAAATTAATTATTCATTAAAGACCTCTTAAAATTTTACTGAAAAGATGAAAAGCATGGAACATAAGGAAAGCAATGGGTAAGAACACGTATTCCATCTAATTTTTTGTTTCATAAGAAAACCAAATTGCAAAATGGTATTTAGAAAAAATATACTTTTATTTATCAAATCTATTGTACTCGAAAGCAGCTAGTTTTATGACACGTTAAACGTATTATAATTTTTCACATAATTTCTACTGTAGGACAGAATTGTCATGGAGGCATAACAATAAAGTATAAATCTGAGATTATGATTTTTAAAAATTATAATTTGTCAACCTAACCGCATTCTTTTAAAGCTATTATGGAAAATATGAACTGAAAAGTTAGAATCAAAGTGAAATAAATGACCAAAGTGATTAGAGAACCATATTTTTGAGAGTTTTTCATAGTGTTTTTTCTTGTGCAATTTTTCACACTGAGCAAAGTGACCAAACAGGTGCATGTGGACTAAGCGACATGAAAGAGAATTTGGGGGTAACTGCTTCAGTGACTTTTAAACTGGCCTATCAAGTAAGAGGAATATTGGCTTCCATCACCTTTACATCTTCACTGAGAATGGTTTTTCTTTTATCTGGTCTTCCTTTGAATAAAATTTGTCATACCTGAAGACACTTGAAAACCGCTCCTAGTACTATTTGCATCATTTAGAGATAAGGAAAATGAGGCCCCAAGTGATACATATGAATTTAACACTAATTATCTTATTATAGAGTAAATGATTGACAAGAGTAATGAAATTATACTCCCAGAGCAGCTCTACATGAAACTTGTACAGTACACATTACAATTGAGTTATGTCTCACAAAGCATGGTTTTTGTTTAAAAAGCAAAAAATTAAGAAGAATGATATTTTTTGAAACTCTTTTCTGGGCTAGTAGTGAATAGATGATCAAAATAATGTAATCTCATGAAACATCAAAGTAATAGCAGTTTGGTTTTCAACAGCAATTTTCTAGTCAGTACAGAGAACAGCTAGAAATGTTGATCTATTGAAAGTGCTTAAAATGTTGAGTTAATGGTGATTTAACAACAGAGTAAAAGTATTTCATGGCATTTTGACTCACTGCTTTACTGTTTTACAGTAATTAATGGGTAACCATTGGCCTGTGTTTTGAGGTAGTATCATTTACATCCAGTCAAAATTAATTTAGTTATACCTATATGGATGGACAATTTAAAGTTGGTCAATTAATAGCTTCAAGAAGCTAGAGCTAGAATTTATTTGATGTGCTAATTTCTAAGTAGTAAACCTATAATTTTATAATCATAAAAACTTTTAAAATTTACAAAAGTTGGCAAACACTCTAAAATACTCAAACACTACTTGTTATCTTCTAGAAGGAATTTGGTCATGTATTGTAGTAACCACAAAAGTTCTGAAATTTATTTATCTATTAACCTCACTGCTATTTATTCCAAGGAAATCATGTGAAAGGAGAAAAATACTTAGCTATTAAATTATTCATTACATTATAATAGTAAAGGGGTTGAAATGACCTAAATGATCTGTTATTAGGAAATGCAAGATAAATTATTATAAAACAATACACAGCAATTATTATAAATAAGTATATATTCACTACAATTATGAAGAATAAAAAAATTGAGGAAAAAACCAAAACCCTGATCAAAAACTTTTCTGGTTACACAGAGTGTTGGCCTAGAGGTAGTAAGGTGGAGACAGAAATTCATTTTGTGACTTTCTCAGAGAGATTTTAGCAACTATAGAAAACAACTGTCATGCTTTTAAATGTACAGATGATGAAGTGGAGCCCAAAATTATTTGATTGTGAGTCTATAACATACTGATTTTTTTCTAGTAATAAAATATTTTTTCCAATTAAAAATGAGGTGTGATTGAAATATATGGCAAATGTTTAAAGTTAAAAAATTACAGTAAAATACACACTGGCATCAATCCTCTCAAAATATTCCTCCTTGCTTCTAGCTCTCTTATCCTATCAACTCTGCCACTTTCTGAAGCAGTTCTAGAGGATCTTTTTTGATAGGGTCTTTATGAAGTGTGATCAAAAATTCAGTGAATGTTGCTGCCATGTGGAAAGGTAGGCTTGTAAAACATTATGGTATTTACTTACATATTTTATTTACCAAGCCTGGCACCATACCACTTCTGACTTTTCCCCAAAGTCACAATGACCATGAGGTGAATGTTTGAAACAGATTCAGGACTCTGAGGCAGCCACACAGTAAAACTAAAGTAAAAGAGCATTTCTACAATTGCTTCCGAAAGCGGCAAGAATGGGGCATAGGTATGCTTGAAGCAAGCAGAAATATTTTGAAAGGGATTAATGGCAGTGCTCTTTTACTGTAATAATTTTTTAAAAAATTAAACATTCAATGTATCTGTTCATCACACTATGTAAGCCTGACAAGCACTCTTCACGTGATTCAAGAATAAATGGCTTCACTTCAACCAGACGAATAGTTTTACTGAAATGAATGGAAGTGCTTCAGGACAACGCTGTGCCAATATAAAATCAAGAAAAGTGGCAAAGAATATTCCCTCTAATGGGGACTCTAGAGCAGAAAATGTTTACGAGGAATCTCAAGTGTCTTCCCTGAGGCCTTCAGGATTTGGTTCCATTTTGAAGAGGGAATTGCATCCTCTACAGCACTCCATTTCTATCATGCTGATGTTATTCCGCTCTTAGATCGCCAAGTCTTTCCTTGCAGCAGTCAATAGTGTCTAAGCTAAAGGACATCATTACCTCCTCCACAGGTTGCTGAGCAAGGAAAGAAATCTGTCTCCCTCCAGCGGTGGATGATGGGCTGATAGAAGATGAACTGGACTGTGCTGTCTGCAGGCCCCGAATTCCGGATCTGTAGGTGACAACAGGAAAGCTGAAGAACTAGTGTGAAAGCATAGCGTTTTCTGGGCCCCTGGCAAATTTGAAAGGATTCACGATGTTCCTGAATGTCTTAGGTTGTGAAAGGGACTGCAGCAGGACAGAAGTGGTGATGGTGGCATCACTGATCAATCCTGAAACAAGTGGATTATCTTTGCCATGTTGTCACCAACCTTTCTCAAATCCGTTGCCACAGGACAAAGGATTGTGATGTTTCAGCTTGGGATTCCACCACTATCTCACCCCAAGTTAACATTTCCATTCCCTCCTTTATTTTCCACCTCTTTGGTATAGCAGATAAAATTATGGCAAATAATTAAATGCAGTTTCACACATAGACAATACGTTCTAAGAAAATTGTAAATATCACATACTGCCTAAAGTGCAAGTTTGTAGTTAAGAAAGAAATGAGTTGAAAAATTAAATAGATTTCCCATTCAGACACATACATGGAGCTTCTTGATAATTTTGTGATTCACATATTTTAATGTGAAAAATTGGTTAGTAGGAAGTTTGTTGAAATGCAATATTCCTGGGTGTATGCCCAGATGTCCAGAGAATTCAAATATAGATAGTTCAAGGACCAAACTTCCAAAAACACCAGATGATAAAAGCAATTAACTTCAAACAGAACTGGTGCTTAAGGAAATTACAATTTCTTTTTTTTAAAAGGACATTGTGAAACAATGATTCTTTAGTAGTTCTTAAAAGAATGAAGTTGAGAAAACATACTCAAACTGAAAGTACCAAACATGAACAATTCATTTTCAGGAAAATGACAAGTCTCAACATTCAGACTGTTATGCAAGGCTTGGAACATTTTTTATGTTAAAGGAAGTTCCAAGAACTACTGTGAATACCCCTTTTTACACCAGCTACACTATAATAATTAGAGAGGAATCAGAGTTTAGCTGATCACATGGCTGAAGTCTTTTTTTTTTTTCAAGTATTTTTGAGACTTTCCAATGTCCCATTTGCTAGGGCAAATAAGTAGATCTGACCTTTAAGTTAGTTTAAAGACTTCTGTTTCTCTGTTACTGATCTCAACAAGTGAATCACACACCTAGAATGCAGGGAAATAGGAACCCTAAAGAAACATAGCAAGAAAACTTGATAAATGCCAAGTTCTAGAGTAGATTTTGGACTTTAGATAGAAATATGGGAACACTCCTCAGAAGGCTAGGAAATCTGGAGAGGAGAAGGAGAAGGACAGGGAGAGGAAGAAAAAGGAAAAGAAAAAAGAGAAGGAAAAAGGAGAGAAGAGTAGAGGAGAAGAAAAGAGAGGAGAGGACAGGAGAGGAGAGGAGAAGAGGAGATCCTACAGATTATCTCTTTTCTAATTAGAATATACAGTTTTACAACTCTCTCCTTTAAAACAAAACAGTTGAAGCAATATATTTCTTTTAGAAAAGAGAAGCATTACCTACAAATTAATATTTTTCAGTCCTATGTGTCAGATGCAAGGGGAACTAACTGATGACTTGGGGATATGTTATTAAGCACATTCTTAGGAAAGTTTCTTTCTTTCTTTCTTTCTTTTTTGCTCACAATAGCTTCTTACTCTCTCACAATGTGTGGTTATCACATTGAATCCAACGTCTCCCCCACAGTCAAAAGATTAGACAATTCTTTTAGACCCAGAGACTGTTTTTGCATGGCTTCTCTTTGAAAGTACTAGAAAATGGGACTGAGAATGGGAAAATATTAGCTACCTACGGCCCACGTAAGGAGCATGAAGAATCAGGACACTTGGTGAAATCCTGTTCTGGAATTTCTGGGTACTGTTGGAGCCTGTCTTTTGGCCTGGTTAAAAGGCAAAAAGGTACCTGGGTATGACAGAATAGGCCTATAATCCCAGACACTCATGGGACTAAGGCAGGAGGATCCCAATTTCAAGGCCAGCCTGGGCCATGTAAGAAGACCTTTTCAAAAAATTAAGGCTGGGGGAAAAAAAAAACACTGGGGGTAAAGCTCAGTGGCAGTGATCCTGGACTTTATCCTCAGTACGGGGGAAAAAGGCAAAAAACAAAGCAAGTCTTTCTTTCAGCTCCTTAGCTGCTGTCAATAAGAGCACCAGCAATGAACAGCCAAGAGGAGTTTGAGGGTGAAGAGGGAGGGTCGGCAAGCGCCATGAGAGGAGGGGGACGCAAGCGGATTGGAGAGGATGTTGTTCTGAGCTCCATGGAAGTGATATATAATGGCCATAAATTCTGAGGCTGTGTGTTCATATTTGAAAATAGTCTGGAAAGGAAAAGAAAAGATTTATCTATTTCAAATAGATAAAACCAACACTAACACCTCCAAATCTCTGGCACATAACCTCGGTTGATTTTGTTCACATTGATAACATTCTTCTTTTCCCTTCTTTATGATCACATTTCTTTAATAATAGTAGCAACCATCAGCACTTACCACATTTCCAAGTATACAGTTTATTTTATTTACATTCAGTCTTACCAGTACACTATTGCCTTTCACGTTTAAGTGACAATGGGAGGAATGGGACTGAGAGGCTTCCCAAGGCTTGCTCAAGTTCACAGCTAAGGAACAGCAGAGTGGGATTTGAATTCAGGTCTGAGTATCCCTAAAGTTGCTACACGCATGGTATCAAGCAGTCTCCACAGTGGTAATGTGATAATATTTGTATATATCTTTAATTGTATCATTTTATCTACCATCTCAGTTTTTCATTTTAAAATAGAAACAAATGCTTAAAATACAAAAGATGAGGCTAAGTTGATGTCTAATTCTGATTGCTGCTCAAGGAGTCAGCTTCCTGTGGTCCTCTCCTCCAATTTTCTTCATTCCAACCTGGGTGGCCAGTTGTGATCATTAGGTCTGTAGCTTCATCAACTCTGATCCTCAAGCATCCCATACTAGTTCTCAAGAGCATGCTGGAATGCAGCTCGTCACCTCAGAATGTTGGTGTAGGGAGCTAAAAGAACAAGTAATTTTGACCTCCTCATGCTAATAAGAATTAAGAATGCTCTAAACCAAGCTCTTATTTTTTAATTACAATACTCCACTGTTTCTAATGTAATGTAAATGTAGATGAGAAGACTGAAAGTAGCTCCTCTCTGTAGCAACTGACAGCACTGTCATGGTAAAGCTGAAGGGCAGTACAGATGTGTGTGTGCATGTGGCACGCATGTGTATGTGGGTGTGCATGTGTGTGTATGTGTGTGTGTGTGTGTAGGGGAGTGTTATGGATGAGCCGTGAATCCATGTAAATTCGAAAGAACCAAGGAGAAATTATAAACATGAAGACATCATTAAGTATACACTGGCTCTCCCACATAAAGCACCGTGAATCCTGCACTGCTGAGAAAAGTGCACTTTTGTGATTGTCCAATGACTTCCAACTGAGTTTCTTTCTCTTGTTGATATTTTAGAAACTTCTACCCTAGAGAGACAGGCCAAAGTTCTGGCAGGTAGGGGTTCCTTAATCTGCCTGGTTGTTGTTCTTTCATTGCTCTGATAAGAACAGGTGACATGAGTGACCCAACACTTTACATCTCTGATCTGGGTCTAACAGTAGTGACTTGGTGACAGTGTTCCCAGGGGAATATGATGTTATGATGTGGGAGGACTAAGTAATAGTACACATAAATCAGAGGCACTATCACAGAGAAGTCTCTCTGGGAACAACAGATGGAATGTTTTTAAGAAACAAAGGGAGAGAATAAAATGGAAAACAGGTAAATCTGCTCATTATATACCCTCTCAGGGTATATAGTCATATTGGGGTGTTTCAGCAGTTGACAGTGACACTATATACTCAAGAACTGTTATAAACATATTTTTTAAATCTTTTGTTAGTATATCAAATGACTAAGTGAATTTTATACTGATCATGAGCTTGTCAAAATCAAACTATTATTTGTGACATATTCTTAGAATCATTGTTATGTGTTAATATACAGTTGGAAGTTTTCTTAAAGGCATTCCTTTTTGCATCCAATAAATGATAAGTTTGGTGAAAAGAATCACAATAAGTAACTTTATCCAGAAGTCCTTTTCATCCTCTAATGTCGCTGTCTGTGTAGGGAAGCAGTGTACCACAAGGGCTTATAAAAATGCTACTTATTACTGGAATGAAGCATCGATTGAAACACCCCACTGCTTGGAAGACCTGATAGATTTTAGCAGCTGGAAAAGCTAAGATTGAGGATCACTAGATTAAAAATGATAAGAATTTTTAATGCTCGATTTACCCTTGTACGTACAGAATCTTTCTAGGACTCCAGACTTTAATTTGAAAGATACTGCAGGGCGTACCATAGGCCCTGAGCCTGGTGGTGTGTGATACTGATACTGGCTACTGATCATGGCTAAAGCTGTCCCAGGCTCTGAGCAGTGAAGCACTAGAGCAGAGAAGTCTCTCTGGAAACAACAGATGAAATGTTTTAAAGAAACAATGAAGGTGGAAAAGACTGTCCAGGAAAGAAATCCTGAGAAGCTGAGAAGACCAGAGCCTGAATAAACAGCTCAAATGGAGAAAGAGGACAAAGATAGAGATAACCAGAGTGGATCCAGGTGGGGATGGGTTGCACAGGGCCCTTGCAACTCTCAGGTGTAAGGAAAGTGAAGGGTTTGGCTCTGTATCTTAAACCTCCTGGTGTGGTTGGGAAAACATGAATGAAATCCAACAAGCAGTGTAGTACTGTATCTTCCAGTTCTATCAGCAAAAAGGAGACTATTTATTAGGGAAATCACTATCTGTAAAAGTTGGGAGGAAAATGAGCCACTACTTACCATTTACTTCTTTGCTTTCCTATACTTGGTTTTAACTTTTCCTCTCAAAAACCCTTGAATTAGGACAATGATTTTTCCTCCTACAGAGAAGCCTTTTGGACCAGGTTGGGTGGAGGGCAAAACCAACCTTGATTAAACATTTGCCAAAGTTCAGCCTCCAGTGGAGAAAAGAATTGATTATACAGCCTTAACAATACACAGACTGTCCATGTCTCAGAA